TGTAATCTCAGATTTTTGAGGAATAGGTAATACTCCATTTTATTGTTGTTTGAGTATATTGGCTAAAATGTAAGTTTAAGATAACACTGAGGTAAATTAAGAAATATTTAACCTGTGATAGTACCTGCACTTTTTGTACATTTCTAAAGAGAGTAATAATCAATAAACAAGTATTTATGGAGTGCCCATTTTGCACATTATGGAGCCTGTGAGGAATATGGGAAGAGTCTGGTTTCTTATAGGCTTCACAGGAAGAAAATACTAACAAATGAAACAGATTCTAATATGAGCCACTTAACACTAAGCTGCGCTGCAGGGAGTCTCAAGGGTGTGAACTCTAGAAATGTCATCCCTGTTGGAGTTATGAATACACCGCACCCAAGCTAACTTCCTACTATTGCCTGAATACCCAGTCTGTCGGTCTTCTTACGAGACAGTACTCCTCATTATCACTCAGATGGAGTACTCCTGTACTCCTCATGATCACTTGGGCTGAAGGCAAGAATGGATTAATGATGGCTCCTAGGTTTTTAGGCTAAGCAATGAGATAAATAATTTACTGGACTTATGGGACAAACAAGTTATATGAGAGTGACAATAAGTTCAATACGTCTGTGTGAAAGTGTCGTATCAAGTGGACAGTTGAATATGAATCTTTAGCTCAGACAAAACACCACCTACTATGGAAAATGGAGGTCATATGCCTCCTGTTACCATTTGCTTGGTAGCATGGATAAATTATTGAATCTCCTCCAGTTAGTGTCTCCACCCTGAACTTTGAGTTCTCAGGGAGTGAGACAGGAATATAGGAACCATTGTTCTTCCAACAGAACTGGATCATCAATTATTTTCCCCATTTACCCTTTAAACCATTCCTTTGGCACTTAGAATTGAATGCAAATGCTACATCTCAGTCTACAAGGTACTGCATAACTTAGTCCTCATTTAAAATAATGATATCAAACACATATCAAGTGTCAGGCACCATTTTAAACACTTATGACTCTATTTTGGGGCACCTGGGTGGCTCAGTCATTAAGCGTCTGCCTTCGGCTCAGGTCACGATCCCAGGGTCCTGGGATTGAGCCCTGCATCGGGCTCCCTGCTCGGCGGGAAGCCTGCTTCTCCCCCACCCCACTCCCCCTGCTGGTGTTCCCTTTCTTGCTGTATCTCTCTCTGTCAAACAAATAAATTTTAAAAATCTTTAAAAAAATAAATAGTTATGACTCTATTTCATCATGACAACCACTGATGATGTACATTATTCTCTCTCCTTCACAGGAAGCACAGAGGAATAAGTAACCCATCTAAGGTTACACAGGTAGTGAGAAGTTGAGCCATATTTGAACCCAGGCTGACTGGCTCCAGAATCTGGGCTGTCATCTACTACACTGTTCTCCATGACCATTCTTTCTTGCCAGAAAAGGGAGATGTGCTCTGGACTTCTAAAATGTCTTCTAGCTCTAGCAGTCTATGATTTTACTCAAGTGCTTTTTTTTTTTTAAAGTCGTTTCTCCAGTTCTGCAATTGTAATGTTTTAAGAATTTTATAATAAATTAAACTAGAATGATCATTTAGTTTAATCTAGGGAAATGATGTGGATTCTTATTCTGCTTTCATTCTATTCTATTCTATTCTATTCTATTCTATTCTATTCTATTCTCCAATAATATGATCCTCTGCCATACCTATTAACTCAGGGAAATGACAAAAGCTAAAGCACCTTGTGATTGCAGCTTCTGTTACTGACATATTCACAAATAAAATCCAATAGTCATTCTGTTTTACCAAAGCTGGCCATGAAATTCTCTCTCTCCCACTTACGATGTGTATTAAACAAAGTACTGTAAAATGTTTTAATGAATCTTTATAAAATATCTGGGTGCCCAATTTTTCATGTAAGAATCAATATAATGAATGTAATAGTGAATAAATGTTTCATGAACCTAGAAATGGAGTTGATTTTTCTTAATAATTCTATCAGGCTACAGACTATTTTGGAGAATGGCCCTGTTAAAAAATAAATTAAATATAACTCATTTGTAGTGTCTGTTCTTCAGATATTCTGAGCCTGCCAATATGCTTCAAATTTAACATCTTTGTCTTTCTCTTTAGATTATTTTTAACAATTATTTATCCCCAGCCCAAAAACTTGGCTGTGAAATTAAAATTGCCATTAAAGTTGCTCATGACTACCAGTGGCTATTTTTGTTTTTCTCAGTCATTATATATATTTCATATTTCCTGGAAATAGTTCTACTCTTGAACAGAACTCCATCTAAATAGGTCCATTATAATTAAAGAGATTAACATTTGCTCTTAACAGACAGCTGATAGTGAAATAGAAGAGTATGCCTCATTTGATAAACACTTTTCAAGGTTCTAAGACCTTGGCAGACACCAAGATGATGAGACAAGACCAGTGTGTTGTTGTTTCCCCACTATCTCACTGTGCTCTATCTAGAACTGAATCCAAAAGAGAGAACTGGACAACATCAGCCACACTGAAGAGCAGGAATGGAAGGCTTGGACAGGCCTTGGAAAAACTGCAAAGGCCTTAGTACCACAATCGTTCCTTTCTTCACAACTTTCCTTGACTTTCAATCCTGGCCTCCAATTTGTCCCAGCGTCCTTCGGGGACCCTGGGCCCCTCCTTTCCTGCGAAGAATGTCAGACAATCGAATTCACTCAAAGGTGTTAGTGAGCTAAGTGTTACCTCACAATAGGGCTTCTGCCTTCCAAAAGACAAGCCTGGAGAGGACAATGCCAGGCCATGATTTAATGAGTTACCAGTGACAGGTTTAAAGCATGACCATGGAAAGGATCAAGTGGTTTTGGAGGAAGCCTCTCTTGCTCCCCTTCAAACCACTTTACTGCCTATTTTACTCATTTTTGGCACAAAAGTTTAGGCCCACAGTTGGCCACAAGCAGTTTCCAGAAGGAAACTCATTCTCATCACTTAGGAAAATGCTTTCAGGTTCCAGATAGTGCCAAATCGTAGACTTAGAAGCAGTCACAGAGAAAACTTTTTCATCTCTAAACCTGTCAGGCTAGATAATTTCTAAAATTCTTTCAAGTTTATACATTTTTGAAATTTTTCATATTATCTATCCAATTCCTTCATTTTTCCAGATGAGGAAACTGATGTCTCCAAATCTTCCTGAATCCAGTCCTTTTCTCTCAGCTTTATATTATCCTGTCTACATGCCCCATAGCTATCGCAACAGTGTAAGTTCTCATAAGTAAACTGATGTACTTACATAATGTATATTGTGGGTTGATGCAAGAATTTCCTAAATATAATCCCATAGCTGTCTAATCCATCCCCTGCACTATCTGTTCACAGGCTGATACTTCTAAAATATAAATCTTATCATGTCCTTTCTTTACTTAACATTCTTCAGTTTCCCCAGTTGCATTTAGAATAAAACCCAAATTCCTTAGCATGGCACACAAAGTTAGTGATCTAAACTTTGTGTCATTCCCAGACGTTCTCACACCCCTTCCATCTCCAGCCCTACAAGACTCCTTACAAGCCCCTGCACAGATCTCACAGGCTCCTGAGCCCCTGCCTTTGCCCATGCTGCTCCCAGTGTCTTCCCTTCCTCCTACCCATGTGCCCTTCTAGAGTAAAGCTGAGATAAAGGGTACTTCAGGAACACTGCAGTGTATGCTTCCTGTAATATTTATGAATATCCAATTCTGGTCAAGAGAATAGAGGACATTAAGCATAGAAACAAGAAAAAAAAATAGATGACATTAAGTATGGAAATAAGTAACCTGAAAGACATCTTAGACATCACTAAAATAAGTAGGAAGGGACAGAAAGACTATGTAACATCAAATAGCCATGAGGCTCTCAGGGAATCCCATATTCGTGAAGTCTTAGGCTCCCTGTTGGTAATGTCCTACCTGGCCCACTCGTCCTCTGGCCCAGACAGAAAGATAAAATCCATAGCTGCTCAGAGGCTACATGTCAAGTTCCAGCTGTGGACGAGAGTATCCGCCCTCTGTAATAGAGCAAGTTATTTTACCTCCAGGCACCCTACATCACTGCTCACCCTTACTTTGGACCTCTTAACCATCCCATCAGCAAGGAAAGCTGACTGAGGGACAGAGAGGGAAACAGAGAGAAGACTGTGAACCTGTGAACTCCAGGATTTGGGGAGCATGGCCCTTCCTGCCTGTTTGCAACCTATTCTAGTATATTAACCTACTCGACTTCCTTTTCTTGCTGTAGGTTTTAAGTTGACTTAATAAGCCATGTGACATGTGCATCTTAATTTGGTCTGTGGGCCTTTCTGTGTTTCTCTCTCTCTGGGACAGGCTTCCTGAAAGTATAGCTGGAGGCTACCAGGGCAGTGAGGTAATTTCCCAATGCACAAAGGCATCCTGTCCCCTCAGACCAGGTCCAGTGTCCTTCCTTGGCACTCTTTGAAAACATCTATGACAGCAGTTAGCTCTCCATGTTACAAAATTGTTTTCATGTTTTACTTCTCATTAGACTGTGACATCCTTGATGTTGGGGACTCAATCTTCTTACTCCAAGCACCTAACATAATTAGAGACTGACACGTTTTTGTTAAAGAGTCAATAAACGTGTTGTAACTAATTAGTACCAGTTGAAACCGGAATTCAGGTCTTCTGAATGCACCATTAGGCAGAACCAGAACCTTACAATCTCTCAAGGTCTTGAGTAGGGCTGCATGAGAATAAAATGCGTCACTTATATCTATGTCTTCCTGGAGGTGTCTGAGGTGGGGAAGGCAAAAGTATTGATCTTGGTTACCCACATGGAGACACCAAACTGGATCTCCATCGCAGAGGTCAAATAGAAAACAAACAATGAGCTAGGATTTCTAAAATCCTACCAAGGTTCAAAGCCTTTTTCACAGAGTAATGGCCTCAGTGTTCCCCCCGCCCCCTGCCCCCACCCAAGATATCCTCCCCTCCACCGTCTTGAGAGGCAGAAATGACAACATACATCACCTTTACTCTAATTCTGGATAGATCATATCTATTAGATGAACATTAACCTCAATTAAAAGTTTCATGGCCCTCCACCCAGTTCCTTACTTCTTGTTATGACTTCAGTGAGAATGACAGGGATTTTTAAAATCAAATGCCTACACTAAGGGACAGGTAGCTACTTACAACAGTCTCTTTGAGCAGAAACTGAGGCAAATAATCTTGGTGCTTTTCTGCTTCCCACTAAGCGCACTTCTTTCTGTATCTTGTGATTTAAGCCTTTTATCATTGACCCCTACATATTAAGCCTCATTCTTTTTCTGTCAGTCTTGATCAGTTGTTCCATTCTCTCTTTCACTCTTTCCACATTCTTTTCTCTCTTGATCTCCTCCTTATTCTTACTCTGTTCTTTCTTTCTTGTCTTTTTCTCTTCTCTTTCCAGCTCTTTTGGTCCACTGCTCAGTTCCTCCAGCAGGGTCTCAGAAAATGTGATTAGGAATGTAACTGCAAGAAGATACAAATGCAAAACCAAAGCACTGAGTTCCAAATGAAACAAGGATTCCCCAGCCTGGTTGTCATTGGCACTCTACCAGAACTATAAAATTCTAGAAAAATATCAAGACATAATTCATTCTAATGTATTTTCATGTACAAAGTAATCAGATGCTCTGAAGCTTTTTTTGAGAAGTAACAGGAAAGAGGAAAGTGATCTTCCATTAAGCAGTGTGCATAATAATTTGGGGGAAGTGTTGGGAGTCAGCATCTTAAAATTGTCCTATTTTTCCCTATTTTTGAAAAATAATTTAGTTCTTAACCTAGGATATGCATTAAAATGTAACTGACAACCATAAAACATAATTTCCGTGCATTTTTTCACATAAGGACATCCCAAATGCTGAAATTAAAAATTCAAACTTTTAATGGTATTTTGGAATAGTCACATATTTAAAAAAAAAAAAAACTGTTTTACATTGCCAAACATGGTTCTAAAATTGAGAAAGCAAAATTCCACACCACTCAGAGTTTTGTACAAAATTCTGCTAATGTAAAATAAACATTTTCCCTTAAAATGGTAGTATTTTAATATATTTTCATAAACATTTTTCCTTTGCATTCTACAATAAAAAGATAGACTCTTCCAAAAAACCTAAGGTTTGAATGCCAACTCATGTATATTTTTTAATTAATAAAAGTAACATAAATCAAATAGGCATACCCAAAATGACAGTCACAGATTGTGCAGTATTTTTGCTATTTTGTCAGTTGTCTTCTTCTGTACGTTTCTTTTAAAACAAAGTTCTCTAGGAAATTGTGTCCTCTTGTGGTCACTGGCACAAACAACATGTTTTGTGCAGGAAGAATCAATCAAAACAATGGAAATAGGACTTAAGGCTTCAGGAAAAGCCATTTGTGAAAAAAGGAAATCCCCTGAAGCGTAGAGAGATGAAAGTCATGAGTAATCAGAAAAGCAACTTGATCTGGAAAAACACAAAATATAAACCATTAGATTTAGATTTAAATTGCTTGATGATGAAAAAGAGAAGATAAAAATGCTTACTAAGTAGGAAGCCTATGGCCATGATAAAAGCCTCTATGAATAACTACGTACTTCTTCCATTATTTCTTCAGTTACTCCAGCAGCTCCCCGAAATAGGTGAGAGTGTATTTCACCAAGGTTAACTGGCAGCAAAGTTGGGACACAACCTTTCTAGCCTGCACACCCAATAAGCCAATAAAGGTGTGTGTGGCGGGGGAGGCTCTTCAAGACTCCATACTTTCCACACTTGGATTCCTCTCTACATACAAGTTCAGCATATTATGCTTCTTTACCTTATCCTCATTTTGAATGCAGAATGTCAGATATTTTAAAGATTATTTGAAAATCTGATTGGCTCATTTGAAGTGCTCTTGGCAACTCAATTTCTTATGCTTTATTCTTTTTCATTTTATTTCTGGATGGAAAGTTTCACATTTTATAATTTCAGTTCCTTAAAGGGGTTCAGAAGGAGAAATATAGAATCAGTTAAATCCATAAATTAAACTATCCTTAAGAGAAAGAGAATGCTCTCTTATTTAGGGCAAGGTGTTCAAACATCATTAAGGCTGCCTGTGTTGCTGAGAAAGAATCTGCTTTCACACAGTTATGGAAGTCACTTGTGCTGACACAAACTTTATGTTCCACTTTGATAAAATTCTCTTACTTCAGTATCAAACTAGGCAATCCCTGTGGAGTGTCCAAAACAAGATGAAATCTAAGATGTACAATCTCATTCAACTGCAGCCTTCTCCAATTTGCGCCCCCTTCTGTGTGAATGCTCCTTTGCTTCATTCATGCAATTCAGAGAAATGATTTCACAAAACTCTAAGCCAATCTACAGGTGGTAGGTCATCCAAAGACTAAGAAGAAAGAGTAGGAACAGATTCAAATACTCACCTTTTGTGCAAATCCAACTCCAAAATTTCCTATCTTGCTAACAATTCTATAGCATATGTATGTTTCTTTTCCTTCTCTAAAAGTATTTATAAATGATTATTGTTAAGAGAATGCCAGTGCATATAGTCAAACTGGAAGAATACAGATACATACTTAGTGCATACACTCAGTATGAGATTCCTAACTTGGTTTCTTCTAACAGTAGTTTTTTTCAATTTTCAACACAGCACACATTCCTCAGGAAGGACTGCGAACATGCCAAGTTTGCAGTTTTGAAAACAAAGCTCGTTTTGAATTATCCGAGTGCAAAAGAAAAACTTTTTTGTTTTCAGTTAATTTTTTTTCAGGGAATTTATTTTAGAAGTAGACAAAATTATTTAATTCCAATTAATCCAGTATTCCCAAAGAAGGTAGTTCTCCACTACCGTCCTTCAAGTCAAGCTGAGTTCAGCCCCAAAGGGAAATTTCTAAAACTGTTTTTAAGAACCTGAAATTAGGATTTTTGAACTAAGTCTTCTTTCCCCAGCAAGTGTGGACAAGAAAATTGTTAGATAAAATGTTAGGTAACATACAGCTATAGATGAACAGAGTGGGACGAGCCAGCCGTGAAATATTACAGCTTGCAAAGTAGGGAGTATCAAGCCCCAGACACTTTGAGAGGTAATTCATTTGGCAAGCCACAGCCTTCTGCTCAAAAAGTAACCTGTAGGCACTCAAAACCCCTCTCATTCTCATCCTCCACTCCTTCGAAGAGTTCAAGAGAAATTTCTTCTCAGAAGTAAAGTCATTCATTGTGACTCTGTCAGGAAGATTCCATGCTGGGACGGTTCTGGTTAGGTCATTCATTTTAAACTCTCTTGTAAGCATTCTGGCATCGAGAGCTAGAGCACAGCCTCAGCCCTGGGGATCCCTGGTACCCAATGGCCAGGCGCTCTTCATCCCCTATAAGTTCAGTGCCCAGAATAGGGTTGGGTTCATGTGTTTAAGAACCAGTCTTGGAGACTGATGACTTTGCAAGTCCAGCTGGCTAATGATCTCTGGCTCCTGCACTGCTGTGGACTTGGTTTCTCCTCCAGTTCCTCTGCCCTCATTTCCATCCTCCAACCCCAAATCCCCTTGGTCAGGTAAGGTTTCCCTTTACACTTTGCCCACACTTTCCTGTCTTGATTACCCATAGCCACAAAGGAAAAAGCCATCTCTTTAGTTTTAAGGATTCCACTAAAGGGAAAAGAAAAACAAAATTAAGATTTGAGATTGATCTTAAAAAAAGAGAGAGATAGAGGTGGAAAATTTTCAAGATTTCTGCAGCCACCTTCAAATAAAAATTGTGGAATAACCGGCAACTCGCATTTATAAAAGAGAACACTTGGTAGAGTGTGGCAGAATTTCTGCCTTACTCTCAGCTTCCAAGAGATAAAATCCTAAAGGCAGAAGACGTAAACAAAAGGGTGACTTATCACAGTGCGCTTCGTTTTAAGGATACCTGCCTGCATACTATAAGTGGAGATATCCTTAATTTTCAGACAGGATCTCATTTTAAAATAGGGCGGCGACTCTTGGGGCAGACCAGTTGGCACGCTGTGGTCATTGTTTCTGCATATTTGTAAAAATGGTGATAGCCAAATCCCGCAAGTCGCCCCTCCCAAGAAGGCACAGCCTTGTTCGACCCCCACGGGAGAGAGGGATGCCTCTAGCCCTCACTTCCCCCAGAAGTCTGAGCCCTTCAGTCAGCTCCAGGCGCTCCAGACCCCAGGGTTTCCGGACTGAAACTGTGAGCCTCAGCGAGGCAAAGCCACATGGCCTGCCCTCCAGTCGCCTGGGCTCCCTCCTCCTCCTCCCCACACCCACAGCCGCGACCCTCGGTCAGGCCCAGAATGGAGACTTTCGCTTAGCTAATTCTCCTCTGACAGGCCAGTCGGGGGAGAGCGTGAGTGGAGCTCGGCCTGCGCAGGGCACACAACCTCGGTACCCCTAAATCTCCCCCCCTGAAAACCGACTACTGCTTTTGACCTCTAGTTTGCTTTGCAACTTAACGGTGAACACGAAATGGTTATTCTATCCCAACTCGTTCCAAAAAAGAGAAACAAGTCTGGCATTGCAAAGAGGGGTTTCTCTTCTCCCCTGGCTTCCCTTCCAGCCCACCAACTTTTGTTGCCTCCTATTTGCCAGAATATGCATCACCACCCTCTTTGGGGCTCTGGGGCTCGTTGTTGTTAACGTATTCGTTAGAATGGCTTAAAATACAAAAGTGTCCAAGTAACTGGAACGCGTTTGGGTCACACGAAGCGTAATTGTCCACTCCACCTCCTAGGAATGAAGGGTGGAGAAGGTGCGTCTCACAACCATCAGCCGCGCGCATGTTCGGGGGCTTGAACCCCATCGCACTCTCACTCTCTTAGGAGCCTACCTTTAGAGGTCACAATGTGGGACTTTATTTGAGAGTAGGGTAGGGATGAAATGGCCACAGGGTCCTCCACCTTGGGCTGGCAGCTCAGGAGACCAGGGCTGCAGCGAAGACGCTGCACTGTCCCTCTCCGGCCCCGCTGCCTTCTCCAAGGACAGGACTGACTTCGGAGAAAGAACGAGCTGTCTCTAGCACCGTCGGAGGTGTAGTCTTTTGAGTGGCAGGAAGCTTTTAGACTGGGTCACTGTGGAGGGAAAAGGAAGGCCCAGATGCTTCTCAGGGAGGGGTGAGAGCAGGCCGGGGCACAGATCCGCAGTCCCCGCGTCGCAGACACGTCTTCAAAAACGCCCACGACCTCAGGGCCAGCCACGGTGGTTTGGCCTTTGCGACTCTGGGGGCCCGTCTACCTGGCTACTGGGGGGAGCTCCGCGGTTGCCAGTTATCCTGCTACTGCCCCCACCCCCAGCAATCCCAAAGCGGCCCCACGGACCTAGAGGGTACAGGGGCGAGATGAGACATCACCCACTGCGTCGAAGCTGTTGCTGCCGCTGCTGTCACAGCCACTCCGGGAGGGACTGACACCGGGGCCGAAAGGTCCCCTCCGGCCGCTTTCCGGGGCTGCGCTCGGGTGCGGGGGCGCGGCCCGCGCGCTCCGACGCGGAAGGAAATCGCCCCGCGCCCGCCTGCGGAGGGCGGCGGAGAGGGAAAGGGGAGGGCAGCAAGGAGGCGGGCAGAGGGGCCGGCCGCCCGAGCCAGGTCGTTTTTGAATGGTTTGGGAGAACGAATTGTCAGACCCTGAGGAAGGGGGGTTGGGGGGGTGGGGACGGGGAAGCGGGGCTGGAAAGCGGAAACTTTCCTATAAAACTTCGAAAAGTCCCTCCTCCCCACGTCAGGCCAATGACACTGCTGCCCCCAAACTTTCCGCCTGCACGGAGGTATAAGAGCCTCCAAGTCTGCAGCTTTCGTCCAACTCCCAGACACCTCGCGGGCTCGCCGGCACCGGCAGCGTTTCCAAGAGGCCGAGCAGGGTGTGCGTGCGGCCGTTGGGCGCCTTCTTTTTGGACCTCGGGGCCATCCACACCGTCCCCTCCCCCTCCCGCCTCCCTCCCCGCCTCCCCCGCGCGCCCTCCCCGCGGAGATCCTCCCCGTCCCTCCTCCCGCTCCCTCCTCGGCGGGCCGCACCGCCCGGGCCGGCGCCGCGCGCGGGGGAAGCTGGCGGGCTGAGGCGCCCGGCTCTCCTCCTTTTCCCGGGCCGCCCCTCTGCCCCGGGCCTGCGAGGCCGCGCGCTGCCACCTGAGAGATGATGCAGGACGTGTCCAGCTCGCCAGTCTCGCCGGCCGACGACAGCCTGAGCAACAGCGAGGAGGAGCCGGACCGGCAGCAGCCGCCGAGCGGCAAGCGCGGGGGGCGCAAGCGGC